TGTTGCCTCTCGTAGCCAGCGGAGGCATCAATTTGTGAAATATGCGTCCCAGATCTGGCGATTAACAGTGACCTTACCAGTAGCCGGATAGAGGATCTGCACACACAAAGCTTCATTAAATACATAAACAAACTAAATTATATAAACATATTATACCTGATGCTAATCAAGATTTAGAGTCGGTGACAGTGGCTCCAGTAAGTGCTCAAGGAAAAACATATGCTCATAGGTAACGAGATACCTCCCCGCCAGAAATGAAAACCGATAGACAGTCAATAAAAATTTGAAGACAAAAAAATTATCTCATCTTGTGTTGATACCTATGCATGGAGACACTCTGTCTCCTTCATGACATGCTCCCTCATGGAGCCGTCGAATGCAAGGACTGCAGAAGGGCTATAGGTACAAGCATAGAAGTTGACAGGGCAAGGATTTTCTCATCCTCCTCCCAGATTAAAGAAGGCCAATAACTACTAGCTTGAATCGAATGTACAAATCTGTGGCTACGTTCTCTGGCCATGGAGAGAGGGAAGGCAGTCCTCTCCCTAGGGAAAAAGGAAACAGAAAAGAGAGGAGCAGAAAGTATCATGGCTGCCATTACAGTCAGTGAAATACAGGAATGCTGAAGATCGAAATGCAAAAACGGAATGAATGAGAATAAGATTTCAAATAATACCTATATATAGAGACTAGGGAGAGGGAGGGGGAGAGAGGACCGTGAGGCTCACGAGAAAGAAGCCTTCCCCGCCTCCACACCACATTAGCGAATGCGCCCCTAAATTTCATGCGGTTTGGAACCTCTCCCCTTCCATTCCCATCCTCTTTTCTCCTCTTCTTTTTTTAATTATTAGATCAGCATATTTCAACAGTTTAGATTTTATTTTTTTATAAACTATTTATAAAAGAATTTTAAAAACATTTAGTGTACTTGCAAATCATTAGAATTAAATTTTAATATAGTTTAAAATTTATTATTTATTTATTTTTATAATTTAATATTTTAATAATAGTTTTAAAAAGATTTAAATCTAAACCGTTAAGATATTAATCTAACGATTAAAAAAGGAAGAGAAGGGAAAAAGATGAGAAGAAAAGAGGAGAAGTTCTAAATTTCACGTGCCGTATCTGTAATTGAAAATACCTGCATGTCCGCTTAACAGAATTAATTTTGACAGCTATTCCTACGGATTCAAATGAAAATTAAAACAACTATTGATAATCATTTTGTTATGAAATTATTAAAAAAATCTATTAATTAATTTTGAAAATCATAATATGTATATTTTTAATTAAAAGTTTTAATTTATTCCTTTTGCCAACATAATTTTAATTTATTACACACTAGAATTCAATGAACAAAGTCAGTATGAATGTGAGATCTATTTCTATTAATTAATTAAATTTTTGACGGGTTATAGAACACGCATTTTTGAGTATTTTAAAGCATCTTGTTTAGTTTCAATGCCTCCCCCCCCCGGCCAGCTAGTTTCAATTCTTTTCAAGAATATCTCGTCTTATTTTGTTATGTTACATCTTAAAATGATTATATTTTTATTTTTCCGTTGCTTTTTGTGTTCTAAACTGATTTGGTATTGTCCAAAACAGTTTGAATTTTTAACAACTTGAGAGGATCAAGGGGCAAACATGCAGGACGGGCATTTGGTATGGATGATGCAGCATAAAACAATGTGTAAGAGCTTCTTAGCTGCTGCAATCTAGTAAAGTCAAACTATTATTTCACCTCACTTAGGTAGTTGTTTGCCATAGAAAATTTTAAATATAATTTGAAGTTCATTATTTAAAGAAAATGATTTGAAAATACGTAGGCATCAAAATCATAAGTTTATAACAAAAGAGAACATTTTTCTCCAAATACCTAAAATTTAATGATAGATGTCCCCGACTGTCTAATTCTTGTGTTTTTAGTGTTCGATATATAGAAGAATGTATGATAAAAGAATCTCCCGGTCTCTTCTTCTGCATCAAAAAACTATATCTGAAATCATTATCACTGAAACAGAATGTGATGATTGACGGTAGACATTCCCTAATGAAACACAAGCATCAGCATATTGTAAACTCCCAACCTTAACGCTATGTTTGGCTTGACGGAGGGAAGGGGAGGGGAGGGATTTTAATCAAGGGAAGGGGAGGGTAGCTACAAAGGGGAGGGGAGGGAGGGGGAGGGGAGGGAGGGATTTTAATGATCTCCTGTTTGGATTGATTGGAGGGGAGGGGAGGGAGCAATTTTAATAATACCTTATTTTGTTCTAAAAAAAATTGACTATTTTAGCCTCATAAAATTTAAATGAATTTTCTCACTTTTTATTTTGTTAAGATATAACTATATATATAATACAATTCACTAATTTTGATTTACAAGATACAGTCACACACTTATAGAATATCAAGACAAAAAGTCACAAGTGATAGATTTCAATCAGAGAAAAGACCTTGAAGGTGAAAGAAAATACCAACGGCCTCTTAGAATTAGAAGAAGAGAAAAAAAGTTTACAAATGCTCACTAATTTTGGAGATAATTATCTTAATAACCTCTTATTAGATGCTCAAAAGAACTCTATTATGTAGAAATGTTTATGATTGATTAGAGGTTAACAAATCGAAAGGGCATATAAGGAATTAAAATATCATCTCTTACCTCCCCTCCAAAAAACCCCACTTTTGGAGGGGAGGCTAGAAGGGGAGGGGAGGGGAGAAGAACCCCTCCCCTCTTTAAAAAACATCTTAACCAAACGAGGGGAGGGGAGCTCCTCCCCTCCCCTCCTAAAAAATTATACCAGCCAAACAAGGGGAGGGGAGCAACTTCCCTCCCCTCCCCTCCGAAAACCCCGTACCAAACATAGCGTAAAAGTTTTTCTTCAAAATAAAAAATGCACATTAAATAACTTATATAATGAACAAAGACAGTGTGAAAATGTAAAATCTATGTAATGTCAAGGGGGAAAATGTATATCTCAAATCTAACTAGCCTGGTGTTGATAAGATAATCATGCCATCACCAAAAATCAGAGATTAGCATGTCCAAATTAAATCCAGTCTGTGGTAGAGGGGAAAAAACTCCTTCCCAGATAGACATATTCTACAGCCAAACTTTGACGCGTTATGTAAATTCACCAAATGAAAACCTACAGGCGTATCTAGGCATCGCGTAAAATGTTTGATACAAAACTGTGAGACTTCTTTATATAACAGGCATAATCTTCTGGTATTTAGTTTTACTCTAGAACTGCAATTACTACCCTTCAAGAATTCACACATTAACAAGTTTTGCTACCTTCTAAAGTCTTCGACCGTATAACTCTTCCATAGCCTTCAGCTCCTTAGTTCTACCAGTTTCATGGGCATGCTCCGGCACTTGATATGAAAATCCAACTGGAATTTTAGTGCACTCTACGCATATAACAGCAATAACCTTCTAAGCATGTTTTGTCACATAGACTTAATATCTACCACCCACATCAACACTTAAGGGAGTTTGTTAGCAAATGAAACACACTTTTGTTTTATGCTAGAAGGGAAATGGAAAATCGTCAGTTATTACTTTCTCTTTGATACAAATACGCTCCAGAAGAGTCAGAACTACCTATCCGTTGTATATATACAATACAAGGAACAAGCCTGTCCTCGCACGGCTTAGGAAGGTCTGCAAGCTCCAGTGATGATACATACAAAATACCCACCATGATTGATATATGGTATATGGTAAAAAGTAAATGATACATAATAATACATGGGCGGTTATTTCAGCATTCAAGTAAACCTTTCCTATTGACTTAGTTATAGGTCTGTTATAGAGAGAGAAAGAGATACGTTGCTCACGTGGGCTGATTGAGGGAAATATATTGATGTACCATCCACCATTTCGTTTTTGTGAATGAAATATTCTTTGTTTTCTCTCTGTCTGCTATCATAAAGGTATCAAAGCCCTCTCTCCGGTCCATGATGTCGGAGACGCGATCCTCCGAACGTCTCAGTGACATTGAACAGCATCTTGACTTGCAGCAAGGGACTATCGACTCCATTAACGTCTGATTGGACAAACACTCTCAGGACCTTTCTGATCTTCGAAATGATCTTAAAACCTCTTCTGCCAGATTCGAGCATTACTTTAGGGAAATTAATTCCAAGCTCTCTTCTCTCTCTGAGCATGGAAAACGACCATCGATTGGGGAGGGGGCCTCACACTTTGCTACATCTTCTCGCACGCCCACATTTGGTTCGTTGAATGAGTTGTTCCAGCAACCACCCTCTTTGTATGTCATTCCAACCAAGCACAGCCAAGTTGTGTGCCAAGCGCTACTTATTCTGCTAGAATGCAGGAGGTAACGATTTAGGCTCTCCATGATAATGCCCTAACCGTCGTTCATTGTTTACTGGTAGGGTTGATTCAAGCAAATTTTCTAGGCCAATGGGCTCTAAGCTTGGGCTCATCGTTGATGGGTCGGTTGCTGATAAGTCCACATTACACAATCTGTTGACCTCTAGGTCTTTGCTTCCATCAGTGTCCTACCCATCATCTATGGCTTCCTCTGCATCAAAACCGACTAAGCATCTAACCAAGAAAGAAATGGATCAGCAGAGGTGGAAAGGCTTGTGTTACTAGTGCGCAGAGAAATATACCCCGAGCCATAAATGTAAGGAAGTGCATCTATTTTCTCTTTTGATCGATGAAGATGATGACCATTTTGAAGATGCTCTGGAGGTGGTACCATCTGAGAAACTATCAAAGCTATTGAGGGCAAGGAAAATACTGTCCCCTTGAATCTTCTCGAGCACATTAACCAGTCGATAGTCATTTTCTCGAGCACATTAACCAGTCGATAGTCATTTTGGTCGACATTGGCAGTACTCACAATGTCATTAATGCGGCCATGGCTAAACGCCTAAATCTGAAGGTTCATGAGTGCCCTGCAGTCACCTTGATAGTGGCTTGATACTCACAAGTTCAGTGTCACCAAGCATTGCCCCTCACTGCTATGGGAAATGGGAGTTACCAAGGGTATTACTAGAACTTCATCTCTATACGGTGGTAACAATTTACACAATTATGGTATCAAATCAACCAATATTCAGAAATTACATTAGACTCAAACTAATTTGAGTCAAGCGGGGAAAGACCATAAGGGTGGCAAAGTTCTCCCGACAAGTATTTAGAAACCTGAAACTACTGGTTAAGCTAAGCCTAACCCCGTGCCAGCTATTTATTCTATTTATCAAGGCTTGTCTACTTTATAATGGGTACATATAATGTCCAAAAGTGACCACATAGCAGTCAACCCTCCTCTCCAAACTCTTGGGTAAATCTCTCATGCACCTCAAGATCAGCTTTACTTACTGTTGGCTTCTGCCTCCTTAATACTTTATCAAAATCTTCCCTTGTTATCGGTGGTGGCACAATCTGCAACGGTTGCCAGAATTAAAATGAAGAAAATCAGGAGAGACGTTGAATCATTTTTCCATTTGATAAAGAACACAATTTATTGTCAGGACTAACAAAGAGTAACCAACAACAAATATTCTGTTTTGAATAACCAATCAAATCAAATCAGATCATATAACCATGAACACAATATGAAGATGAATATATTCTATTCTCAACTTCAAATTTCCTTTTTCTTCTTAGGCATCCTCCTCCTAACACGTTTACTGTCTTATATCACATATGAATTCAAATAAGGATTCATGAAATAAACTTTCTAATTGGTCTCAAACGGCAAAAGAGAAGTTACGCCACTCACATGAGATTTTTTAATAAAATTCCTTCAGACGGAATAAAATTCCTTCAGAGGCCTTGCTTAAGATTTTTTAATAAAATTCCCCCACTTAAGATTATAGATGCAGTCTGTTTTTGAATCCATATCTCTCCTTGCATAGCCATTATGTCATATAAGAAACCAAATCCAACATTTTCTCTTAGAGACTTTTAGAAAACCTCATTTCCTCATCCGTTATGTACCTCTGAAGCAAGGCCTTGCGCATCAAGTTCTAGCAGGGTAATGTTAACAGCGCCTTTTTCAGTAGGCTCGCAAGGGATCCACTTTCCCCTGGAGGTTTTCCTAAAGAACTTGGAATCCCTGGTCTTACGAACTGGTTCAAAAAGTACATCCTTAACCTGAAAGGGGCAAAAAAGGGGGAAAAAAGGGTTAGCAATGCCAAAAGGTTATGCACGAATTGCTACTTAACAGGGAGCCAACACTTAGAATGCCTATCAAGAAATCCAAAGAAATACAAAACGAGCGAGTACTACTCACACAAACGGAAATGTCTGAACCAGAAAATCCATCAGTTTTGTGAGCCAATTCCTCAAAATCTTTTTCAGTTAAGTTATGCGGGGTATCTCCAAGATGCACCTGCCCATATTGAATACGCTTAAAGGGATGGAATTGTAGAAATGGAAGGCATTGCCATCGTTATCATGTTCTGTGGACACACAAGGATATACACTTCATGTAAATTTTTCACACCTTAAACATATGCTGCCTGGCCTTCATGTCTGGGAGAGGTATGTAGATTCGCTTGTCAAAACGTCGTCGGATGGCCTACATATATTTACTTTAGTCTCAATCAAACAATAATTGCAATGGAACTTCTTTTCATCAGTATCTGCCAACAGAATTTCATAGGTTTGTTTTCCAACCTGATCCAGAGCATAAGGAGTATTGGTGGCAGCAAGAATGAGAACTTTATGATCTTCTTTACCTGTACCCTGAAACATACTCAATTGAAATAGAGTTTCCATTCATTAAAATATATCACTACTTATAAGTTGGGATATTCTTGAATCAAGAAAAATGTATACAATACATGCATATGTTACCAGCCAACTTGTTGTATAGAGAAATAAAAACATCACAAAAACCATTCACAGAGAAGAGATATCAAAATTTCAATTTATTTTGAGTTCAAAAGCAGTCGCATTTTCAGTGTCCAAGCGTGTAATTGACTGAGGGAAAATGAAGCAAGAATATTAATATTGCTGAGGCTATTATCCTATTGGATGGGCAATTAATTAGACCCTAGTTCATCTAGAATTACAAGCAGTCAAAAGTATTTCATACTTGTGCTGATTATCATCTAAATATATAAGGTAGAGGCACAAGAAATAAGCATATGGCAAACTTAATTTGACTTTGTGCCATTGCAAATCATGAAAGAATGATTGCCGCATGCACGTTGTTAGATATACTGGGCAGTATGGTTCTTCCTTCTTGTGGAAGAAAACATTTCCAAAATCCAAAGGACTAAAACACTGTCAATATTAGAAATAACCCTCTACTATGTAATTATAAAAGGTCTAAACAATAAAAATATAATTTGTTGTGGCCATGTAAGATGGGCCCTTCAATAAACAAAATCTACCTGCATTTGTACGAGAAGTTCAGTTTTGATGCGTCTAGACGCCTCACTTTCATTGCCTTCACCTCGTTGGCCACATAAAGAATCTATCTCATCAATAAAAATAATTGAAGGAGCACTTTCACGAGCCATTTGGAAAAGACTAGAAACCAGCTTTTCACTTTCACCCATCCATTTAGAGACTAGATCTGATGATGAAACACTGCATACGAATGGCAAAAAGAATTATCACACAGAAACCAACCCCAAAATCATTTATGCAGATGAAAGTTATATCCACCGTTGGTTTATAAGCATGATACTTGAGAGTGATGCGAGCACTGCTAAATTGATTACTTGTAATAATAAAAAGTTAAACGCATTATGACTAGATAGCTTAAGGTTTGAAGTTGAAAAACAAGCAGTTACAACAACAAATTTACTATAAAAAGTAAACTACCCTTTCCCTTTTCCTTTTTGTGTGTGCCATATGCAAATAAATGGCTGATTTCTAGTCCTATCCTAAGTTTTGCTGTGATGAGCTAAGAAACTCTATAAATCTGCGTGCTCCTCAGAGGTTATCTGAAAGAGTGAAAAATAAAATCAAGGAATACAATCCTTTGGTTGCATTTAATATGCATGAATACAATACCTGAAGAATGTTGAGTCTGCTTCTGTAGCTACAGCCTTTGCTAAATATGACTTCCCTGTTCCAGGGGGACCATACAAAAGAAATGCTCTCCATGGTTGTCTCTTCCCTAAGCAAGTATAAGATTACATGAAATTGTAATGAATAAAATTGAAAAATGGCCGGATACTTCATACGCTAAAAATTCTTTGACTGAGGATGATCCTAGAAGACTCAAATCTCCAATCAAGAGTTCGCCTAAAAAATTTCAATTGAGTCGGTACTTATTTATCACCAATGAACTTCCTCACTTGGAGAAAACATAAATAGATTTGATGACCGTTGAACCATCTGACTAGGAAGACTCAGTTCATTGCTTATCAGATTAGTGGTTTTTTCTACTTAATATACGATCATTGAGGACAGTTTTTTCATTGTTAAATATTTAATTGATATAATTCTGTAAGCATACAGGAAGAATCTCATGGCAGCATTGATATCCGTCATATTAAGAGTGTCCTAACTTTAGGATATAACAGATAAAAAAAAAATACAAGAAAATTACTCAAGCAACTTACCGGTAAAAAATTGAGGGAACTTAACAGGCAATATTACGGCTTCTTGTAATGCTTGTTTGGCATTCTCAAGCCCAGCAACATCACTCCATTTGACATTTGGTTTCTCTCTGATTATTACAGAATCAAGACCAGCCTTCAGCTTTGCTTTCTCTGGATCATCTTTATCTCCAGCTTCCCCACTCTTTGGCTTTGTATTTGGTCTCACAACATTAGATTGAGCTGCACCACCAGACAAGTTAGGCCCACTTTCTCCTTTATCAAGAATGGCACGTATCTCCTCTGCCCTCCTCAAGTATTGAACAAATTTCTCGGTTATTGTTTCCTTGATCCTGGGGTTCTTCTCATACTTCAAATGGGTCTTTAGGTATTCCAATGCATTCATATAAAGAGTAAATGCCTTCTTATAGTTTCCAGCATCATCCTCATGAACCGCCTGCTTCACATACTCTGCTGCATGCTCCAGAAAATTGCAATACATTCTGCTCTAATTTCAGTCGACGCAATTGCCTCCAGCTCCTACACGAGTAAAATTTCAAAATCTCAAACTCTAACTTACGCTATTTTTATCATAATAACAGAGAAAAAAGAATATAACTACAGAATTCCATACTTATGACGTTAAAGAAGAAACGCCGATATAGCTAGCTTCCCTTCTAGGTTCTACGACAATCTAATACACAAGTAAAACAGCCATAATTCAGCGATAATCTCAACAATATATATTTAAAGCTCAAACTCCAAAGTACCAACTACCTCCTTGCCCACCGTTTACGGGGGGAAAAGCTTAAATTCTTGAACACGGTGGATGAAACGCCAATAAACAGTCATGCAAGTTACATGTAATTTCTACAATATCGAGGCAGAGAAGAGAATTGCAGTTTGAACGGGGATCAAAGAACGGCGTTCCCTTAAGGATCAAGGAGAGGAGATTCAGTCCAAGGATCAGGGTGCCCCCTGCTACAGTTGGCAGAGAAAAATAAAGAAGAAGCGAACAAAATAAGGACTAATTAGAAAAGTTAATAGTTTATCATTATTTTAATTCAGTCATTATAATTGTAAAAAATTAATTCGAAGGTTCTTATATTCTTATAGTTTTATTCTCCTTCATCCTCAAAACCGAAATGAGACAAAAACAAGGTTAAAATTCCATTAGTCAGCACATACATGGATTGATAGATTGGAATTTGACTCATTAAAATTGTCATGTAAGCAACTTGAGTTTCGTTTCACTGCCTTATTTGCTCTGTTCATGGATTAATTGGATCATCATTTCCAATTCTTTTATTTTTGCTAAGCATATGTATCTTTCTATTAGAAGTAATTATGTTCAAGACATTATTAAGTTATGGGCACTTCCTTAATGGAGATTCAAACCCAAAATGTCAAAGTAATTACACTGCAAATGATTGGCGTCATATGATAGTTTTAACAACCTTTTAGTCTTCATTTACAAAGCTAAATAGATGTGTTGATTTGGAGTTTAAGACTTCCATTTAGGTGTATAATGTAAAGCCTTGGGAGAGTCACAGGTCATTTACTCCCATACCTACAAGTAAGGAAGTGCTCTACTACGGAAAAAGAGAAAAAATAGAGGCAAAAAAGAGCATGGCTATTGCAATTAGAATAAAAAATGAGGGACTGCTAAAAGAAAAGATTGGAGAAGAATTGAAATGAATGAATAAGGTTTCAAATGATAGGTATGTACACAAAAAAAAGAGAGACAAAACAAGAATGAAGACTTAAAACTTTAGTGTGAGTGGTATGTGAAAGAAGTGTTATCCCATAACTTATATTATACCTGATATTATTTGAGGGTTCATGATATTTTTTATTGAAGATACCACACATAATGGCTAGATGAAGTTGGCAATTTACAATTATTTTCATACTTTTTTTATTTTTTTAAATGATGATCATCCTTATACAAATGAAAATTAAAAAATTATTAAAATTTATTTTGTTAAAAATTTAAAAGTGAAATTATTAAAAAAAACATTTATTAATTTTGAAAATAATAATTTGCATATAAATTTTAAAATTTGTTTTTGGATTTATAATTATAAGGAATTAGTTACAGAATTACTTGCAATCCTAATTAATAGTGATTGGGTTGAAATGATTAATTTGAGTTTGGATGAATTTGATATTACCTTGATACCATTCTGATACTTAGAAAAAATTGTTATAAATAACCTTTTAGTCTTCATTTATGGAGCTAAATAGTTGTCTTGATGTAGAGTTTGAGACCTCCATTTAGTTATATAATGTAAAGCTTTAGAAAAGTCACAAGGCATTTGCTCCCATACCTACAAGTAAAAAACTGTTCTACTGCGAAAAAAGAGAAAGAACAGGAGCAAATAGGATCATGGCCATTACAATTAGAACAAAAAATTAAGATAACGTTAAAACAAAAGATTGAAGAAGAATTGAAATGAATGAGTAAGGCTTAAAATGATAAGTATATACAAAGAGGAAGAAGGACTAAGCGAGAACGAAGACTTAGCACTTTAGTGTAAATGGTGTATTAAAAAAGTTTTATTTCATAGCTTATATTATATTTAATATCATTTAAGGGTACATGATTTTTTCCTAGTGAACATACCACACGTAATGACTGAATGAGGTTGGCAATTTGCAGTTATTTTCTGTTTTATGCTTTTTTATTTTTTTTAAATGAAGATCATCCTGATACAAAATGAAAGTTAAGAAATTATTAAAAAAATTTTGTTAAAAATTTAAAAGTAAAATTATTAAAAAAAACATTTATTAATTTTGAAAATAATCATTTACATATAAATTTTAAAATTTGTTTTTGGATTTATAATTAAGGATAATTCATATGCAAGTCCTTAAAATTTCAACCGATTTTTAATCAGGTCCATATAATTTTTTTTTTTTATTAGGTCATTATAATTTTTTTTAATCATGTCCTTATTGTTTTACTTTATTTTTAATTAGGTCCTTGTAGTTTTTATTCTTTATTTCATAAATAATAATATTCTATAAATAATAAATTGTTACAACAATCTTATGTTAATATTCTTTTAAATTTTTAGTTAAACATATAAATTATTTATTTTTCAATTCTAATTTTTATAATTATAAAATTCAAATTATAATAATAAAATTTTCTAAAATTAGAATATAATTATAAATAATTTATAGTTAAGTATAATTGATTATTCTAATTAATTATTAATAACCAAATGATTATATTAATTATTTTTTAATTATATAATTATTAATTTAAAAATGAAATTAATTTTAAAAAATAAATTAATAAATAATTTTTTAGAAACTACAAAGGACCTATGGAAGGGTGTGAGAAAAAAATAGACGGGCCTAATTAAAAACAGGAGAAAATAAAAGGATAGGAGAAAAAAATTTAATAGGGATCTAATTAAAAATCAGATAAAACTATAAGGACCTGAAGATTAATTATCCTTATTATTGGGAATTATTTATAGAATTAATTGCAATTCTAATTAATAGTGATAGGGTTGAAATAATTAATTTGAATTTTAATGAATCTGATACCATTCTGATACCATTCTAATACTTAGAAAAGAATTGTTATATATTCAAAATGAAAAATTCAATATATATTTTTTTCAATGAATTTTTCAATTTTTTTAAAATACCCATATTTAATTAGAAGTAAATATGGGAGAAAGATTTGGATAACAACAACCTCCTTGATTTACTACTTACCTTCTGAAATATTTGAAGGAAAAAATTGAAAAGCAATACTTTCTTTTAAAAAATAATTATTACATTTTTTATAAGAAATATTTAGTTTTTTTTTCACTTTAATAGGATGTGTAGATTTATGCTATGTTTGGGTAGAGAGAAAATAATGAAAAAAGAAAAACTAAAGAAGAAAATCAAAAAAGACTTTTTTTTCTCCTATTTAGATGACGTAAAAAAGTGTGAGGAACGAAAAGTGAAGGAGAAAATAAGGTAGATCTCACACCTCATTTTCCTCCAAACTTTTCTCCCCAGATAACAATGAATACAAATCCCCTCAATCAGTCAATCAAAGTGCTATTGTAGACCAACGGCAAGGTGTGAAGACTTGAATGCAGCACGGAAGGCATTGATGAGGGTACTGCTGTAAATGCAACTCTCCTGCGCTACCATTGATGTGAAGCAGCTCCAGGAGGGTCTTGCTTAATTCAGGTTCAACAGTTCCCATCAGGAAAGTGGCGTCGAAGCACGAACAAGATTCCAAATTGGTTTCAAGTCGGCTTCAAAGGGAGTTTAGGTTTAAATATGATGGAGATAGTCGCACGTAATGACAGATCAGGACTATATGTAGAACCTAAAAACCAAATAGTGGGTTTATTTATTCAAGGAAACAAGCTCTACTCAAGTTCTACACCTTCTGTGTCAAGATCTGCTGGAAAAATAATTCAACCGGTTTTTAATCAGGTCCATATAATTTTTTTTCTTTTTATTAGGTCATTATAATTTTTTTTATCATGACCTTATTGTTTTACTTTATTTTTAATTAGGTCCTTGTAGTTTTTACTCTTTATTGCATAAATAATAAATTGTTACAACAATCTTATGTTAATATTCTTTTAAATTTTTAGTTAAACATATAAATTATTTATTTTTCAATTCTAATTTTTATAATTATAAAATTCAAATTATAATAATAAAATTTTCTAAAATTAGAATATAATTATAAATAATTTATAGTTAAGTATAATTGATTATTCTAATTAATTGTTAATAACCAAATGATTATATTAATTATATTAAATATGATGGAGATAGTCGCACGTAATGACAGATCAGGGCTATATGTGTAACCTAAAAACCAAATAGTGGGTTTATTTATTCAAGGAAACAAGCTCTACTCAAGTTCTACACCTTCTGTGTCAAGATCTGCTGAAAAAATAATTCAAACTGATCAGTTTTATCATACACCTATGGTAGTAGGATAATGAATAAAGATGTTGACTCTTACCGCACCCAAACCATTAGTGGCATTGATGACAGAATGACAAAATAAGGTGATCCTTTATGGAATTATTGAACAAAAACAAGATGCTTAAGATTTTATTACAGAAATTTTTTTTTAATATTACAAAGGCAACCTCAACTTGAATAAAAAACTATAAAACTAGTCATCTTACATCCTAGCACTAAGCTGCTTATCATTAAGAAACCTTCTCAAACAATAGGAGGAAAACGTGTTATGTAATATTACCTTAAAATAATTGTACTATAGTAGTTGGAGATTAAGTTTTGTCCAAAATTTAAGATCTCAAATCCAAACATACCCTTTGTCTCATATATGATTAACAAGGATATTTTAAAAAATGTAATATTTGTTTATTACGAATAACTAAGTTAACTAACTTCTTTAACATTCACAAATTAATTTAGACTAGAGGCACTATTTAATATTCTTTCATCCAAGCATGACACAAAATTAAAAATAGACCCAGATTTGTAAAAATAGACTCATCTTTTTCTCTCTACATTGCATTGACTATTAATTTTTTCTAAAGATTGACTCGTATTTTGACAAAAATGCCCCTAATGAGAACAGAGTGTAATGTACACACATTTATATTTTAATTGGAGCCTTCCTCTCTCACATTGTGCAACCCACCCTTTCTGATTTCTTAAGCCATTCACGTGACCCTAAAGCGGGTGTAGTTTTTGCTATGTGCAAACACACGATAGAGGCAGGTTAAAAAAAAAAAAAAACACACGATAGAGTTGAGATGTCAAAATGGAGGGGAAGTACAGTGTAGTGTGGGGTAATTTCAGCCATTCTTCATTCTCTGAGAATCTTAACTACACCCGCAGAAGAGTGGGTTTACATAGAAGAGATAGTTGCTAGGGTCGAGGCCCAAGACGGCGTCACCGATGAACTCCAAGCGTTCATAGTTGAGATTCTCAGAGAAGGAAGAATGACTTTCTTCCAAAAGTGTCTTACTCCTGAAACTATAACCGAT